GAAGACTTCCTCCACCGCTGCCAGTGAGCAACGCACTTTACAAATAATTAAACTGCGTTAACGCGCGATAAAATAATTGTCAGTGTTAATTAATGAATGCGTTAACGCGATAATAAGGAGTTAACTTGCCCAGCACTAATTATAATATAATACGATTAAATGAAATGAAATAAAACTATATATACAGTTACTTATACACAACTCCTTATATTGAGAGACTTTGGTTGAGTGGGAATGACTGTAGGGCAGAAAGTAGTGGAATGGTTAATGTGTAAAACCAGCATAACAGTAAGTTCCATTCCTTCATATGTGATGGAGGATGAGGGGGGTTGAGGAGGAAAGGATTTGCTCTGAAGCTGGAGGTGATCCTGTTATTTATAGATGCTGTGTCAGGCCATAGCACAGGGAATCCTCTGGGGGGCCTGTGGCCCTCGTCCAATGAGGCCTCAGTGTTGAGTTTAGACCAAAAGAATCACAGCCAGGTGAGATTTAACGTCTTGTGAGGTTTGGTGTGATTCTAACTCAAATCAGGCTGTTGACTTCCCTGTAGGCCCAACTCTCAACTGCCTTTGTTCCAACCACGTGGTGAAGTCCCAACACATTTTACAGTAAAAATTACTGTATTGGAATTAATTGGAATAACACAAACACTGATAGGCTATTACTTTTGTTGTGTAACCAACCAGATAGTTTCTTTGATTGACACTACAGAGTGGCGACTACAGACAGAGAAATTAGTTTGATCGGTAATTAAATAAAAGTAATTACGCCGATAATTGGAAAAATGCTGAATATTGACCGATCCCTAATACCACACCAGCTAGTGAGTTAAAGTAAAGTGTTTTAAGATCAAATGTGCCTTTTTATGTTGTTGACGGATTCAAAGCACACAATTATTTTCTCTTTGGTGTTAAAACCAAATTTTAAATTTATTCAATTTCAGATTGGATCACCCAATCTGAAATGGCTTTTTGAACTAAAACATGTTAAAACACAGATCAAAATTAAAAGAGTAAATAACAGTGTCTCTTTAATTAAAGACAACATGTGAATGAATCAACGTTCTGTTTTCTCAAAGTCTCAGATGATCTGCAACCTGTGAAGCGAAGCAGCAGCTATGGATGGCTGCCACCTTACAGTGAGTTTAATTAGACTGAGTGAGAAACCTTCTTGTGTTCATTATAATCTGATTACAGTGTTTACAGGTGATAGTCACTGATTAATGTTCAAGTTCCAAGATGATAACAGCTGACACATTCACTCTAGTCCACCTTTAAAAAGCTGTGACTTCCTCCTTGGTTATGAATCTAGTTTTATTGTTTTCATTTTGGTTCAAGTCTTGAATTTGAAAAGTAGTTTTTTACTAATTCAGTTTGTCTTCTCAGTGTCTGAGCTGAGGGTTGTTCTGCTGGGGAACAGCTGGTCTGAGAGGAGTTCAGTGGGGAACTTCATACTGAGAGAGACTAAGTTCAACACTGAGGAAGAACCAGATCACTGTCTGAGAGTCAGAGGACAGTTAAAGGAGAAAAAGATAGTTCTGATCAACACTCCAGATCTGCTGCACCCCAACATCTCTGAAGACAAACTAAGACAACATGTAGAAGACTGTGTGAGACTCTCTGATCCTAGACCTCATGTGTTCCTGCTGGTTCTACAGCCTGAAGACTTCACTGAGGAACTCAAAGTGAAGCTCTGCAGAGTCCTGAATCTCTTCAGTGATCAATCATTTGATCGTTCATTGATACTGATATCAACACCTAGAGAGGAGAGTTCAGCTTGCATGGACAAAGACCAGCCTTTAAAAGACCTGATCAGAATGTGTAGATACAGATACCTGAACCAGAAGAACCTTGAACTTCCAGAGCTGTTCACACGTTTGGGTCAAATTGTGAAAGAGCACAATGGAGAACACGTTCGTCCATAAATACATAACAACATGAAAATAGATATCTACAGCTGGTGTAGCTCCTAACAAAAGAGCAAACACCAGGAAAAAGACTGTTCACTGAATTTAATGGTAAATGTTCTGATGGATTTCTTTGTTAAATCTCGTCCAGCAGAGTCATGTGTGGTCGTGTGTTTGTGAGTGAGTGAGTGTGCAGCTCTTCATGTCTTCATGCTGAAGGACCTCTTGTGGTTGAGGTGACTCACACTTTGTCAGAACACTTTTTATTACCCGTGTTGTTCTGCCTCTGACTCTCGGCTGACTCCTCACTCACGACTCTTAACCGGCCGCTCGGGGCCACTAGTGATGACACCGCTGAGAGCATCAGCGGCCCCCAGTCACTGCTGAGACCAGAGACACAGTGGGTCCACCGCCAACAGCTCGGTGACTTTCATTTGGTTTTTGGTAAGATTGTATGACTGAGCATGTGTATGGAGGACAGACCTGCACATGAGCAAGTATCAACAAATACAGGAATAAATGTATATATAAATACAGGAATAAATACATGCATGAATAATACTACATTTTAGAAATACATAAATAAATTGTTTTGTACAGAGTTTGGTTTGTAAGACTGATTCCCAAAGCAGACTTTGTTTTGTTTCTGTCTTGTTAATCAATTGTGTTTTGGTCGCCATGTTTAGTTTAGTTTATGACGTATGAACAGCAACCCACGTATTGTTCTGCTCAGTCCTTTGTGTGTGTTTTTCTACATATTGTTCAATAAGCACTGCAGCGGTTTATAATGTTAATTCAGTCATTCACTGTTAAAGCTGTTATAGTAACACACAATTATGTAATCAGAGTCACACTTGAGTCACACACATGATGGATGTTGATTATTGTAGTCAGGAAATTGAACATGAAATTTCTGCATTATAAGCATTTTCTGACTATCATTTTAATTCTAATGATCATGGCATCTCCTATGTTTTAATCATGATTATTAAATATTAATCTTATCAGGTTTGTTTGTATATATTTACAGTTTACGTTATCTATCTGAGACAAAGATTCTGGAAGTGTACTTACTGTCTTGTTCTACAAGATAAATGTAATGACTTGTATTTTATTTGAAGACATTACTACCACCTAGTGTTCACCTGCTGTATGTGTGGCACATGTGACAGGAAGTAGTGTTTATTCTCTTTGTACTAGAGTGACTGTGCATTATTATCTTCATCCATTTGATGACGTGTTCAACATGTAACTGATTGAATATGGTAGATGGCACAGCGATCTATGTTTCCATTATTTTGTGTCACATACTGACATTTAGTGATCTGTTTAGATTTGCTCACGTTTGCTTGTGAAAAGTGAAATGAATATTCTTAAGTCTGATGAAAACTAATATGTGCTTGTATATTTTTTGCCTGTTTTGTAGTTGCACACTTCTTCATATTAAACCTGTACAAATACAACACGCTGGTCTGTTCCTCAGAGGAAGAGTTTAGCTGACGGCAAAGCCCGATACAGGACACACAGTCGACATTAGGTCTGAGCAGAAGAGTAAGCTATACACCAATACTGAGACATTCAATTCAATTAATATAGATTCCTTTAATAAAAGCCTCATAAACGTCAAACAGCATCAACAAGCTGGTGCTGAACTCCGTCACACCTCAGATCAGTTTATTAACAGACAAACTAAAGATGAATATAAAACAGTTTTCATGTGCAAACAATCTTGACATTATGATTGAAGGTGCAGGAACATGAACAGTGAACGATTTGCACATTAATATGTGTCTCCTCATGAAAGACTGCTTGATACTATCACAACTTGAACTGTCTTTGACCAACAAAACCTGAACCATGTGTTTTATTTGTGTATCAGCTCCTTCACAATACTTGGATGCATACAACATGAACACAGAGTAGTTGAACAGCTCCGTAATGATCAGCAGCTTTGTGAGGGTTAGAATGATTTTGACTGATGGAGAGAACTCGATTCAACTCTTTTCCTGTTTCCGTATCTTTCACTCAGTGTTGGTGAGGAGCTGCAGTGTAACATGGGAAAAGTAGTTCAACAAAAACATTCTTAACTCGGGTTTCACGATTGTATTTTCCCCCTGAGCTTTCTGATGAATCTCACTGGCTTCCTCGGTGGATGGAGTTTTAATGGAGATGGTCCAGTAGTCGTCACATGACCTAAGTATGGAGTGTTTGTCACGTGGTAACGGGTGGTTGTGTTTGGGGGCGATGGTGTGTGTTCAGAGACGTTGTCTGGTGTCAGAAGTGAACGTCATCTTTGATCTTTCTCTGACTTACACTGACTCCTGTCCGATGACCTTTGACCCCTACCCAGTCAGGCTGTTCTCATCATTCGTAAGTTCAAACACAGGGCAGACGGAGGTGGAGGTGGATGTGTCCAACAAACAGCGATCTTTCACTCAGCAGACCGCTGTTCGTTCCCCGTGTGAAGCGAGACGTTAATGGTGATTTATTTGTCACGTAACTTGTGTACCTAATTAACGCCACTTCTGCAGTTATTTTAACCCAAAATAACGATCTTTTCTTAAACCTAAGTAGTTCCCTGTGAAGACGGAACTTTATTTTGAAAAGATTGTATGCATGTTTGTATGCATCTTAAAGGAACAGTGTGTAACAGTTAGGGGGAGCTATTGGCAGAAATGGAATATGATACTAATAAGTATGTTAGTGTATCATCACCTGGAAATAGGAATTGTTGTGTTTTTGTTACCTCAGGATGAGTTGTTTATATCGACACACAGAGCAGACGCCATGTTTCTACAGTAGCCCAGAACGGACAAACCAAACACTGAATCTAAAGAGGGGCGTCGGCCACCGTAGTTCTCCTAAATGCCTGCTCACCAGGAGAAGTTTCAGTTGGTTCAATCTGCCATCTCACCACTAGATGCCCCCAGATCCTACACACTGCACCTTCAAAATACTAAATGCTTTGTAATACGTTTCTTTTTTCCCGTTGTGTATTCCGTTGTTTTGTCCGTCCCAGTAAATTATAATTTTGTGCCTCATTTAATATAAGTCTGAACCCTGTAAGAGTTTCCATGGCAACAGAAGACTGCATCAGCAGTGATGGACTCTCATTATCAGTGACTGAAAGATACTTAACGAGGCGCTTTCAAAACTTTACAACGGGACAAACTACCGCCATCACTGCGCTGACTGGCCTGCACTCTGCATTATATTCTGTTGTTCCTGTTATTTTGTCCACCCCCTGTACAATCAGAAGTCATCATCTTTCATATGATGGCTGGTTTCACAGACAGCGATCTAAATATTAAGATCCATATTAATCATCTCACCAGATCAGCCCTCTGCCATCTAAAGAACATTTTAAAACTAGCGTCTGAGAAATGAATCATGTATTTATTGATTCATTGAGTGATGGTTCATTCACCAGCCTCCAAAGAATCAGCAACGACTACATTCAACTCAAAACACAGCGCAACTAAAAGCTAAGAGCACATAACACCAGTTTACAAGCAGCTTAAAACCGCTGACTTGACTTTTAAATCTTGATTGAGAAGTTACAGAACAAGTTGAATATGAGTTCTTAAATGGATTTTCTGCACAGACTTAATGTTCCTAAATTGTCTTTATGAAAACATTTTACTCCCGTGTGGAACCTTCAGCTCAGTCTGCCTCAAAATTCATGTGTAAAAAATGACTCAATGTGTTTTCCTAAACTCAATTCACATATAAATAAAACGTATGAATCAGTAAACACCAGATGAATCCAAATGTTAGAAATATAAGTAGTGTTAAATTGTTTGCACATGGAACAGTCTTTACAGACGCTCCGTTTCTTTCCCTCCAGATCAGAAACAAGACGAAGCTGTTAAGAGACGAGCGTCACGTGTTCAGACACACCTGCAGCTCTCTGAAACACACCTCAACATGTTCTCAACCTTCACTTGCATCATTTTGAACTGACGGCACGACACAAAACTCAGCAGGTGAGTAAACTTAAATAAATCTAAAGCAAAATGAGCTAATTACTGTAAATCATAAACTGAGACGGTGAGTGCAGCTTCATTAGTTTAGTGACCGCGTGAGTCTACCGCGAGAGTAGACCTACGTCTGTGTCACGAGAAAAAGATCTGAGAGACCAAATGAGAAGTCACACATTATTAAAATATATTTATGACACCTTTTAAATATAATAATTAAATGATTGATGTTGGTGGTCTGGGCAGATCCAGTCCATCACTGTCCAGTCTTTAATTGATTGATTGCCCGGCTGTTTGTCCTGAAGGATTGCCCCAGTGACCCACAGAGGGGAGGGTTCTATTGTTATGATTGATTATTTTCAATATCTTAGTTGTGAAGTGTCCGTTTATATTCTTTACCTTTACCAGTGCACACAAACTTATTATAACAATATGTACACACAAACTTAATATACTTCATATATTGTTCTGATCTGTGCGACAGAGTTTGCCTTAACCGTTCTCTGATCCTCAACATCTGAAGAGAACAACTAGTTACATCTGCTGAACATTACTTTAAACGACTGTGAAATGTTCTTCCACGCCTGCCTGTGATCTGTTCTATCCTGATACACTCTCTCACTATTTCACATGTGAGCTGAATGTTTCAGATGGGAGTGTTTTTTATGACGCCGGTTTACTAGCTTTGCTTCCACTCCCATCTTATTTTTAGAAGCTCTATAATAATTTAATTACATGGATCCACCTTTTCCCCGAACTGATATTAAACAAACAAACAGTAAAAGTTATAACACATTGTACAAATACTCTGTTACGGTAAAATGTTCCTTCAGTAAAAGTAAGTCAGTATAATCAGTAACATAGTTAAAGTATTCAACATTTTTGATTATTTTCATTATGGATTAATCTGCTGATTATTGTCTCCAATAATCGATTGATTGTTCGGTTTGTAAAAATGTTTTAAAATTTTAATATTAATATTTAAATTTTTTGTTTAAAACATTATTACTAATTAATTAACATAATTAACATGATTACTAATGATTTAATGTTAACATTATCACTAATATATTCTCATTAACAAAGTTGTTACTAATACATAAATATTAACATAATTACTAATACATTGACTTTACAACTACTACATTATCATTATTCACATTATTACTCATATATTAACATTATTAACAATTATAAACAATTTTTAAAAAGCTTGGGAAGAAAAGCCTGGGAATGTACTGACAGAATACCTTCAAATCAATTTTTAAGGCTTTCAAAAAAATAAACCAAAAAAACAAACGACAAAGTTAAAAAAGGGGCAAAGCGTGGATTAAATGAAGGCAGTGGCTTTATGCAATAACATTATTACATCTGGAAAATGCAAATGTCTTTAGAGTAAAAACTACTTGGTTCTGCTTGGGAAGACTGGCAGTGGAAAGAGTGCAACTGGAAACACCATTTTAGGCAAAGTGCATTTTAAATCCAGACCCAGCCAGAAGTCAGTGACCAAGCTTTGCGAGAAAGCAACAGGAGAGATCGATGGACGTCCTGTCGTCATAGTCGACACCCCCGGCTTGTTTGACACGACTCTGTCCAAAGATCACGTTCAAGAGGAGCTTGTGAAATGCGTCAGCTTGTTGTCTCCTGGACCTCATGTGTTCTTACTGGTGCTGCAGATCAGCCGCTTTACAAAAGAGGAGAAAGACTCTGTGGAGCTGATTAAGAAATATTTTGGCAAGAAGTCTGAAGATTTCATCATCATTATATTCACCAGAGGAGATGAACTAAAAGATCAAACATTTGAGAGTTACCTAACAGACGACTGTGATGACTTGTTGAAAAAACTAATAAATGACTGTGGAGGAAGATACCAGGTCTTCAATAACAACAATGAAGCAGACCGCACACAAGTCAGAGATTTGATGAAGAAGACCAACACAATGATGAAGGAGAATGGAGGCAGCTGCTACAACTCAGAGATGTTCCAAGAGGCCGAAGCAGCAATAGAGAAGGAAGTGAAGAGAATCCTGAAGGACAAAGAAGAAGAAATGCAGAAACAGAAAGAGGAGCTTCAAATAAAACATGAAGAAGAAATGGAAGCAGTGAAGAGAAGAATGAAACAACAGAAAGAAGACATTGAACAAGAGAGAGCCAAACAACTTAAAGAAATGGAAGAAAACATCAACAAGGAGCGAGAGGAGAGAAGGAAAGAACAGGAGATGAGAGAAGAGGAGGACAGGAAGAGGAAAAGGCAGGAGGAACTTCAACAACAAGAGTGGGAACAACAGCTTGGAGCTCTGGAGAAAGAAATAAAGTCAGAGTCAAAAGAAAAGGAAACCATTGACAGAGAGTTGGAGGAGAATAGAGAGGAGATGAGAAAACAACGAGAAGACTGGGAGAAGGAAAGAAACGAATGGTGGAAGAAACGATATCAAGAAGATGAACAGAAACGACACGAAGAGCAAACTAAACTTAAAAAGCTCCAAGAAGAATACGAAGAAGAAAGAGAAAAACATGAAATCAAAAGAAAAGAAGAAGATCGAACCAGAAGAGAGCAGGAGAAGAAGGAGAGAAAAGAATTGGAGGAAACCTACAAGAAGGACCTGGAGGAAATGAAGAAGAAATATGAAGAGGAGGCCAGAAAACAAGCTGAAGAGTTCAATGAGTTCAGACAGAAATACACCAAGGACTTCACAGCGTTGGTAGAGAAGCACATGGAGGACATACAGGAACTGAAGAAAAGACAAGAGAGACAAATGCAGGAGACAGAAGGGAGGCACGGAAAAGAGTACGATCTGTTAAAAGACCTCTCCAGTAACAAAGAAAAACATCTAAAAGAACAATTGGAGGACATGAAGAAAAAACAAGAAGAAGAAATAAAAGAACTAAAAGAGAAATACAAAAGAACGTGTATCATCATGTGATCACACACTGACTAATAATCATGATGTTAGCAGATGGAACCTCAGTTGAACATTGAAAGAACAACAACACCAATTCTATTATTTTCACTTTTGTAAATATTTTTTAAAATGCAAATAGTTTTTATTCCATATATTTTGTGCTTTTCTGGAAAGTCAGTACTGATCAATACTGCAGCAGATTAACGTTGTTGCGTTGCGTTGGTACGCTGGGTTGTACCGTTGTCTCATTACGATGTGCAGTTGCATTACGCTGTCGCGTTACGCTCCAAGAGGCTGTTGCGCTACGTTGTGTTCAATTTTTTTAATGTTACGTTGTTATGTTATGTTGTTATGTTACGTTGTTATGTTACGTTGTTATGTTACGTTGTTATGTTACGTTGTTGTGTTATGTTGTTATGTTACGTTACATTGTACGTTACATTGTACGTTACGTTGTTATGTTACGTTATGTTAAGTTACATTGTACGTTACGTTGTACGTTACGTTGTTATGTTACGTTGTTATGTTACGTTGTTATGTTACGTTGTTATGTTAAGTTACATTGTACGTTACGTTGTACGTTACGTTGTTATGTTACATTGTTATGTTACGTTGTTATGTTACGTTGTTATGTTAAGTTACATTGTACGTTACATTGTACGTTACGTTGTACGTTACGTTGTACGTTACGTTGTTATGTTACGTTGGTAAGTTGGGTTGTTACATTGTCTTGTTGTGATGTTACGATGCCACGTTACAAAATCATCTGTAAAGAAGATCTTGAGTCTCTCTTTGACCAGTGTGTACTTAAACGGGTAAAGAGAATCCTCTGTGATCCATCCTGTATTCTGTGCTCTCATTTGGATTTGGTTATGGTTTTATTTTCTTAATTCTTTACTGTCTCATGTAAAACCCTTTGAATTACATTGTTGTTGAAAGATGATATACTAATAAACTTTCCTTTTGACATTTGTGACTTTGTGTGAAATACCTAAACTACTACGGGATGGATTGTGATGAAATGTTTTCATCTTTCAGGATGAACTGTAATAACTTTATTGATCCTCTGACTTTTCTTCAGAGACCAATCATCAGGTCAACATGTTAATGTGTCCAATACTTTGATTTATGACCAAATACCTGCAGAACTAAAGACGTTCAATCGGCCTCAGATAAGCTGTTTACTGATTTAAGCTAATGTTAGCATGCTAACACGCTAAACTAAGATGGGTAAATAGTAAACATTATACCTGCTAAACATCAGCATGTTAGCATTTATTTTATTTAAGTCTTTCTATGAAGATGTAAGTAAGAATTAACTCATTCATTGTAGAACTTTCTATAAAATACAAACCGATGAAACTTTAAAAAACTTTATACCAAGAAATGACTCATTTAAGTGTTTCTCAGCTAACGCCCTGTTTGAAGATATGATATTAATATTGCAGAATGAGTGTTTTATGCGTTTGTCTCTAGCACTGACTTCCTGTAGACTGTGAGATGATACGATGATGTTCTCCAGAAGAGGACACCAGAGAGGAGCTGATGACCCAAACATTTCTCCTGTACACGGTCTCTTTACATCACTTACAGTACACGCAGAGTATCAGCACCAAAACATACTCACGGTACAAGTACTCCTGCACACTAATATGTATGGTGTCTTATTAATTATTGATGCATTAATGTGTTCATCACTTCAATGTT